TATATATATATATATATATATATATTCTTTTTTGAAAAGCCCAAGGGCTGATTTTATTGAAATAGAAATGATACATAAATGTTATATGAGAGGACCCAATAGAGGCATCTTACCCATATGATACCGAGTACAGTAATACCCCAACAAAAAGATACAGATACTCAATAAAAATTTAAAACATGCAGAAAATAAGTAGCTAAGGACGAGCTGGTTTAGTCCTGCCTCTTCCTCTAATTTTAGGAATGGAACGAGATAACAAATTTTGAGGAGTCATGCCATTGCCTATCATCCATTAAGTTTTCAAGTTGGATGAGTATTAGTTTTTAATTGAATATAATGCTACAAAGATTTGTAATCAATTAAATTATTAATTTAAAATATAGAATAAATATATATTAAATTTTATTTAAATAAATATTTATTATAAACAATAAGATTTAAATATCGTTGTTGACCTCATTTTAAGTGAGGTCTAGTCTTTCTCTTAGGATTTATGATCTAGACGTAGGGATCTCCCTTTGACTATCTTAGAACCTTAGAAATGAGACCCGCCTCATTTAGAAATTCGACCTACTTCTGTCTCTTTTTGGAGTTTCGCGTGTGTGGTATCGACTTCTAGCACTTAGAATGATGAAACCGACATGAGGAAACCCAAAAGGAATTCCTATAGGACCTTTTTGAGCCTTAAGGTGGCCTTCTGCACAATTCGCACTCCCGCGCGCACAAAACTTCTCGCCACAATTCGCATCACTTGCACCATTATCTGTCGAAGACTCTAATAAACTCTTTGAGACGATCTATCGCGGATCGAAATTTTGTGAAATTTGAATTTTGACGCGTTTTTGACCCGATCGTCGACGACGTCGTCCGAGCGACCCCGGATGACAAAACGAACTGCTCCGGCGAGTCCGGAATGTCGATTTTGCCTAGGGAGGACACCCATTTTGTTACGATATAATATGTGTGTGTGTGTGTGTGTGTGTGTGTGTGTGTATATATATTTATATATATACATATATATTAATTTATATAAACCAGATTATCTTTTTCTTTCCTCTTTAAGCCCTAAATTCCCACTCTCCGCGCCCGAGCTCTACCTCCCTTCCTTCTCCCGTTCGCGCGCCTTGCCTTTCCCTTTCTCGGTCTCGAGCCGAGCGAGCTCTTCCTTCTCCACGCGAGAGAAAGTTGACTTCTCATCCGTCTTTGCCCGACACCTTCTACCCGCAACCCTCCTTCCCGAAGCCGTGCCAGTCTCCCCGAGCTGTGGTTTTCTCTTTCGTGGTAGTTTGACTCTAGGAAGCTTGTTCCCTGGTACACTTGAATGACAAACTCTCTTTTCTTCCCGATACTTTCCTCGCTGCCACTGGGGTTG